TCAGTCTCAATGATCTGGAGATGATGTGTCCAGCTATTCTCAATCAGGTCCTGCTCCCTGCCTGCCCTTACACCTCCCCCTCAAACCATAATGATTCTTCATTGTTACCTGATCACAAAGGTTAGTATGATTACCACAAATGCCTTCACCTTGGTGGAAGCGACAATCAAATGTGCTGTATGGATCCAGGAAAGTATATTTTGAGTAATGAGGAAATAGGCAGAGATTACAATAAAACCTCTGGAGACCATATCAACTTATTTTATCATTTTATCAGTGAGTTACAGATTGATTTCCTAGTATTTATTTTGGGTGTATTTACTCAACCAAGAAATACACGCTTTTGTGTAATCATGGTTTTGCCCTTTTTGCTTATGAATCATAATGGTTAAAAGTTAATATTATTATCACTCCACACATTACACCCAGATTATTTTAGAGAGCAAACACTTAAACTGATAAATGCATTTTCCATGACCCATCATCACATTGTTGATTCACTCATTTTGTTGAGGGACTTGAACTGTGCAGCTTCAGTTTCTCATTCCACATTCAGAAAAAACAGCCTTTGTCTAATCCCATTTCATATGGTAATGATGTACAAGACAGACTGTACAAGAGATAGTATTTTACTTCACTGCATCCCAGTACCGAAACCTAATACACTTCCTGCATTAGGTTTCTGTGTTGGGATGCAGTGAAGTAGAACTGCACTGAATTGTGATAAACTGAAACTACAGTTTTACTCGCTTCTTGAATTGAATCGATGGAAAAAATGTTGTTATGCCTGAATATGTGTAAATCTGTTAACTCCTTCCTGTAGTTTGGGGTTATGGTTTCCTGGCCGTGACCGTGATAAACTTGGCTGCTCTGTTGGGGTTATTTCTGGTGCCTTTGACTAAAAAAACATATTTTCCAAAAGTCTTGACGTATTTAATTGGATTGGCCATTGGGACACTGTTTTCAAATGCTGTACTGCAACTTATCCCAGAGGTAAGAATGAGTTACAATGAGATTATGAGATGATGTTTGAGAGATAAAATGGCTTACAAAGGTTTAGATGGGAAAATATGTAGCTCTAGGGGGGGAAACGTTATCAGATTGGCCAAAAACAGTCAATTACTCAAAATAATTCTTATATTTTTTTGCCAACTGAACAGGCCCTTGGCTTAGATCCTAAAGATGATAACTATGTGCTAAATGTAGTTGGGATTTTTGGTGGATTTTACATTTTGTTCTTCACTGAACGAGTTTTAAAGATGGTACTGAAAGCAGATACAGAGGTAAGAGCTTGCATGTGTTTAGACATTATTCACTCGAATAGATCGAGCTGTTTTCAGGCCTAACTCAATGGTTCACCTCCACTGCAGCTGGGACATAGTCATTTCCCTCCCCTGCAGTCAGCTGATGTCACCATCACCACCTTTAGCAATGACGTTGTCATAAACAGCATCAGCGGTGACATCATCACTAACAACACCACTCATGAAATGAACTCTATCAATGAAAAGTCCAACAACCCAAGCGAGAGTCCAGCCGTTGAACAGGTAACACACAGAATTCATATGTATTTCTATACATAATCAAACAAAAATAAACATGCAGGATTATCAATCATAAATGCTACACTGCTATTTCCCTGTTAGTACCCAGAGATGTTTCCTCCAGGAAATGGGCATGATTTCCTGTTGCAGTGAAAGCACAATAAATATTAGATTAAAGATGAATGATTTGCAGAAGCGCATAATTGATCTTGCATGTGGTTATGTGCTCAACTGCTGTTTGTTTACTTTGTGTCCTTCAGTTCTCTCAGAAATCTTCATTCACCATTCAAAAATATTTAAACTATAAGGCCGTCCATACAGTTAAAGCAATTGTGTTCCACCACTAATTTTTATTTTTTTTGTAAACACATACTAAACTACACAAGTCCGAGTTTGCTTCTTATAATAGCATATATATTAGAATATAACTTTAAAAACCACAATTGTGACTATATATTTCTTGTGATAGTGACTTTATATGTCACAAATGCAGCTTTAGCTATATCTTTTGACTATATCTCACAATGGGAATTTATTTAACATTTGTACGTAATTGAGTTTTTTTGTTTTTTGGCATTTTTACCTTTATTACGCTAGGGCAGATCAGAACGATTTATCAGTGTCTGTTTTCTGTTAAATTTGTACAGAATGCATGCGTGTTAACTTGTCGCTGGCTGAAAGGGGAGGGAATGTCTAATATAAAGACTGTGGCGTGGATGATCACTGTCAGTGACGCTGTGCATAACTTCATCGACGGTCTGGCCATCGGAGCGTCCTTCACACTCTCTCTACTCACCGGCTTCAGTACCTCTATTGCCATCTTCTGTGAAGAGTTCCCTCATGAGCTGGGTAAAACACCGACATAATGGAGACCTATCATCAAAAGAGCACGTCATTTTTTACACAAAGTCAGATTTCCTTTATGTCTCTCTGTAGGTGATTTTGTGATTCTGTTGAACTCGGGCATGAGTGTTGGTCAGGCTGCATGTTTTAATTTGCTGTCAGCGATGTGCTGTTATCTCGGTCTTGCATTGGGGATCCTGCTGGGCAGTAGTTTTGCTCCAAATGCTATCTTTGCCATTGCTGGTGGGATGTTCCTCTATATCTCTCTTGCAGACATGGTAAGACATCTTCTTATTGTGATAAATCTTAAAATGAATTGCAGTAATGACTGCCTGAATGTACATTATCCCACCCACTTACAACATGGCAAAAAAAATTGTCAACAACAATAAACAAAACAGCTGGTGTCATAATAAATCAAGTCTTCTCTAGAAATCAAGTTTAAAGAACTTTTAATAGGTACTCTCTTTCATGCCTGACCACAATTCCTACAAAATTGCAACATGTTATGATACATGTTTGAACTACATTTTAAAAGCCATTCAAATCTGTTTCAGTTAGCTTATCAATACCTTATTAGCCTGATAGCTTAGCTAATACACCACAGGTTTACACACATCACAACGATCTTTAAAATAACGTGTTAAATGTTAAATAATAAGTGTTTATTATAGTTGTTCTTCTTATAATTAACAGTTAAATGTTAAATGTAATGGTAAATGTGAAGTCAAAGATAATTTCATGATGTCCCATTGTTTTTAATGCATTATAAAGCAATTATATACATATTTTAAATTATTATAGTTTGTGTGTACATGGTACAACTAGTTGAAGATCAAATTTTGAGGGAGAACCCATTTTGTCACAACCTGGCCTAGCAATAAAGCAAGCATAGCAACAATTTTACAGTATTTTAAAATCATCTAAGATCATTTTCACTATAAGCACTACGAACTGAGATGCAAGATGCCACCAGCTGCGTTTGGAAGAAATAAGAATGAGCAAAGTCCGAGCTGTTTGTCATGGACAACAGTAAAAATTTCCAAGAAATGCCACAACTGACCATTCAGAATCAAGTATTCCAGAGGGTTGTGTAAAAGCTTTCTATACATTTCTAATTACAATGTTTGCTGTTTTTACAGTTCCCAGAGATGAACAGTATCATGGCTACACATTCCAAAGGTTTTCGAGGAAGGGTTGCGTTCTTCCTTATCCAAAATGCTGGGCTGTTCACCGGATTCACTGTAATTTTGCTTATTACCCTGTTCGCGGGTGATATCAATCTGGGGTAGAAAGAAAGAAGCGAATGAAAGTGAGAAACAAGGAACAATTGTTTTCAGTGCCAGAAACCAAAAACTTGAGACAGACACTGTTGGTTTTTCAGTTTGTATGTTAGACTTGTGCTGTATTTGCTGTTACATAGCACAACATAACACAATCATATGGTCCTGGAGTACATGATTTTTATTATATTGTTTAATGAGATTTTGTTGTACTGATGTGAACAGGCAACAATGCGGCGCTGTGTGAGGAGGAATTCCTCAGTGGCAGTGGCAGCCTAGCACTGAGTCTCAGAGCAGCTTTGTCATCCAAATGTCAATGCTGAAGCACCTTTTGAGTGAGACCGTATCATGTTCACACAGTCTCTAACCAAAGGAAATGAAAGTGAAGATAATTGTTGTGTGCTT